GGGAATTGGACCGTCCATGCAGGGAAATTCCAGCACCCAAGTCCCTCCTCCACCCTGGCAAGCCCGGGAGCTCCCCCGTGGGAGCCTGATGGTTCTTCTATTTAAGTCAACAGGGTTTAAGTCCCGCTGGTTTAAATATCAGGTTTAACTGGGGCTCCCCTGCATATCAAAGGCACTATGGTAATTTTTACAAGGGAAAGTGTTGAGGGAAAGTGTCTGTCCAGGCTCCTCCCCGCTCTCCCTGTTGCTCAACTGCGATGCTGAGTCACTGCCCTTTCTGGCCCAGCAAGCGCCTGCACTTTCTTGGTGCTGTGTTTGTGTAGGATGGGGTCACGCATGCCCAAGCTGGGGGAGTCCTCTGCATAAACAAGAGCTAAAAATGAACAAAAAGCCTTCCTGCTTCGCTGGTATTTATTTACGCGCTGCCATGCGCGGCAAGCTCCACTCTGGCACCTGGATTACGTGTGGACTGGGCTTGAACTTTCCCGGAGTCAGTCATCCACTTCCCGCTGATGTACTGGTGCCTCACTGGGCTTTCTGTCTCGCCTCGATCTGCAAAAGATTTATGGAAGGATATTATATAGATTTAACACAATACCATGGGTTTTATTATTTGCTGGAAAATGTTAATAAACCTCAAGTATTACAGATGCATTTTAATCCCTGAAGTGATTTTTGAGTAGAATGCATGAATTATTAATTGTTGTTATTGTTATTATCGCAGTGCATACCTACCTCACAGGGCATTGTGAGGATTAATTAATTCTTGTAAAGATGTAAAAGGCCATATAGGTGTCAAGGGTTATGACTAAAGTGCTTTGAAAATGGAAACCATTCTGTGAGTGCCAAGTATTATTATTTATGGAGTCCAGGCAGTGTGCTTGGTGCTGTGCAAACACTGGGCCAGTTATTGCAAATATTTGCTTATATGTGCTTGGTAGGCCGAGCACTCCCTGTTACAAGTCATCTCAGCTATTTTAAGGATGTGTCTTAAAAATATGGCTGTGAGAAGACTTGCCAGTCTCTGGGATGCCACGGGCCGTGAACAGCTGTGCCACTGTAGCACTTTGGAGGCATGCTTTTATTCAAACACGGGTATGAACCAAGACCTCAGAACCGCTCCAGTTACACATCCAAAAGTTAGAGCTTTGCCCCGTCTTTCCCATTACTCTGTGAAAGGAAACATAACAACAGTAATTGTTTTAGAGTGCCTCTCCCAGCTCAAGGCAAAGCCGACCCCCCAAGCCCAGCTTGCTCACCAGACAATCC